GTATGCTATTATTAAAGTTAAATAGCCTAATTTTTATTGAAAGTGGGTGTGGTCACAGTATAATACATTGGCAGCTATCACCAAGTCTGTGCTCATTTGCAGCAAGCGGGCAACAAAAGACTTCTTCCAAGCAGAATAAACAAAATCTTCTTTATTGATGCCAAAGATTCTGATGTAAAATGACAGCCTTAACTAGCTCGTGAAGCCTGCAGAATTATTGACATAAACTATGACCTTGACTATGACTGCACAATGTGATGAACTGATGGCAAAATTTATATTTCTAAGATAACTACTACAAGAATTAAAGATATAGCCTACATATACATGTACATGTTTAATAATGCTCTCCTAAGGCTTGCTCATGTGCCTGTACGTGTATGTCATACAGCACAGCAATATAGTGATGCTTGGGGGCTGAGCCCTTTAATGTTTTACATTGTTCTAGTTATTAATATGTTAATGTCTTTATCTAGCACTGGGAGAGTGTTAAGGGACCAGTAGTACCTGCTAGTGTACAGTGGCCTGTGGAGAGAGATGCTCATGCTATTACTAGTATCATCAGTGACTCACCTACACTAGTAATGATAGGTGGAGTGAATCAGAAGGATCAACTAGTAAATGATAGTTGGTTACTTGATACTAATCAGTACCAGTGGAGTAAGGTACAGTATGTAATTTCAGTATATCAGTGTATAGTAACATGTTATACCGTATAGCAGGAAATTTTCGTTGGGTGCTAATTTTCGTTTGTTTTGTTGGCCAAAATCTTAAACGAAATTTTTAGACAAATGAAAGTTTAATTTAACTAATTATTGACCCAAGACAGATCGTCTTTTCACTGTAGCCATTATCAGGCATTATCAGGCTCGACACAGAAAGGCAGTTCTTCTCCAACTGATGGGCTCCAAATGTCTTTATAAATGTGGTAACTACAAACCATAGACATTCTTTCATCTTAAACCATACATGTGGCACTAAATAATGGCATGACAGTGAAAATTTATAGTAGGCAAAACGAAAATAAAATCAACGAAACTAACTTGTAAAGCTTGCTTGGAAAGACAACGAAAATTTCTTGCTATACGGTATCACTTATTACTAGTCATTGTATTGTTATGTTATATCATATCAACAGATTGTTCTACCTGAATCTGTTACTGGTAGACGCTCTCATTCCTTATCATCAATAATGATGAGTCCAGACTGTGTGTGGTTGGTGGTAGTGGGTGGGGCTGGAGCAACTGAAGTGAGAGATGTAGGAAGAGGAGTAAAGAAAGCATTTAGTACATGTATCACTGATCCTAATATCACAATGTTAATAG